TTTACCATTGCCAAAAAGAATAAAATACCTAGAAATGAACCTATCCAAGGAGGCAAAAGACCTTTACTCTGAAAACTACAAGACACTGATGAAATTGAAGACAATACAAACAGATGGAAAGATATACTGTGTTCTTAGATTGGAGGAATCAATATTGTTAAGATGAGCATACTTCCCAAGGCAATATATAGATTCAATGCAATTCTTATCAAATTACCAATTGCATTTTTCACATAAATGGAACAAAAAAATTAAAATATGTATAGCAACACACACACAAAAAAATCCCAAACAGCCAAAACAATCCCTAGAAAGAAGAATGGAGCAGGAGGAATCTCAGACTCCCTGACTTCAGACTATACTACAAAGCTACAGTAATCAAAACAGCATGGCACTGGCACAAAAGTAGACACGTACATCAATGGAACAGGGTTGAAAGCCCAGAATAAACCCACACATTTATAATCAACTAATCTACAACAAAGGAGGCAAGAATATGCAATGAGGAAAAGACAATGTCTCACCTCACATCAGTCAGCACGGACATTATCAAAATGTCTACAAACAATAAGTGCTAGAGACTGTGTGGAGAAAAGGGAACCCTCCTACACCATTAGTGGGAGTGAGAATTGGTGTAGCCACTATAGAAAGCAGTATGGAGTTTCCTCAAGAAACTAAAAGTAGAGTTACTATATGATCCAGCAGTCCCTCTCCTGGGCATACATCTGGAAAAGATAAAAACTCTAATTCAAAAAACATATATTCACCCAAATGTTCATAGCAGCATTATTTACAATAGCCAAGACATGAAGCAACCTAAATGTCCATTGACAGATGAATGGATAAAGAGGATGTGGCGTGTGTGTTATACGTATGAATATATTATATATATAATAGAATATTACTCAGCCATAAAAAAGGATGAAATAATGTCATCTGCAGCAACATGAATGGACCTAGAGATTATCTTACTAAGTGAAGTAAGTCAGACAGAGAAAGACAAATATCATATGATATCATTTATATGTGAAATTTTAAAAAAATGATACACAGGAACTTATTTACAAAACAGAAATAGACTCACTGACATAGAAAACAAATTTATGGTTACCAAAGCAGAAAGGGGTTGGAGGAGGGATAAATTAGGAATCTGGGAGTAACAGATACACACTACTATGTATAAACTAGATACACAACAAAGATCCACTGTAGAGCACAGGGAACTATATTAAATATCTTGTAATAACCTATAGTGGAAAGGAATCTGGAAAAAATATATATATATATAATCAGTTTTATTTAGCTATAGATTTCAGTAATTTCAAATAATACTTATCTGTAACAGTGGAAATAAGACGTCTTGCAGAATTTACATTGCTGATGTTGCTTAAATTATTTTCAGAAATGCAAACATGGAAATGGTATAAAATCTAAGAATTCTGGAAGATTTATAGTGAAATTTGAGTCTCCCTGAATCGGGAGTTTCCTCAGCCTTTAATTCCCTTTTGAGATTCAATTTCTTCTCTACACTTCGAGAGGTGCGTATTCAATCATATAATTATTATTTTCATGGAAATGATGACATTGTGCATGCCATTCTACAACTTGCCTTTTGTTAAACCTAACAATTTATCAGAACATGTCAGAGATCCCTGATTCTTCTCAATGACTTCATAATTTTCCCTTTTGCAGCTGTTGTTTCCAATTAGTTTATTATGAAGTGATATATTTCTCAAATCAGTTAGCTGGGACATCCAAACAGAGCATAAATAATGAATGTCTGGGACTGATGCAGCATTTTTACAAATACTTCTTGAATACCCCACATCACACTGGTATGGGGGCAACAGGCAGAGACCTGCTATAAAAGGGAAAACATAAATAAAAAAATAAGAGGCTTAAATTCACTCTGTTGAAATTAAGGGGACACTTCCCCTCTTCTTCCTTTCATAATTTCTTCCTCTGTCCTTTTCAAATGTATGTAAATCTGTTAAGTGGCTAAACTTGCCAGTCTTACATCCCAGGAATGTTTCCCCAAGAACCAAGAAGCCACCTCTGAAATGTAATTACAGGGGAGGAAAAAACTTTTCCTCTACCCTGTTAGATTCGGTATTGGGGACCTGCAAATTAACATGACAAAAGACAGATTAACTTGAAAAGGCATACAAATTTTGTTGATGTTAATATTTTTACATGCTTGGGAGACTCACAGAAAAGAAGTGAAAATCCAGGAAGTGGTTAAACTCAGAAACTTATACACCATTTTATCAAAAGGTGTTAAATTTTGGAAAGATGAGTAGATGTATGGTAGATAAATGTTGTATACTAAGGTTTGTGTGTGCATTCATCTTGGTGCTAACTTTCCATCTTCTTCATGACTGTAAAACTCCTCCAGAGAGGGGCTTTCTGGCAGTCCTAATTTCACAAAAGTCTCTGTTTTAGTTAGATAAGGGAAGCTCCAAGAAGGCTTCTTTCTGCATCTGCTGAGCCTCAATTGCCTCAGCTCAAAATAATCCATATGCCAAAGTGACATATTTTGGGGCGGCAAATTCTGATTCTCTTCATAATCATCAGTGAAGATCATATCCCATCTCCCAAGTTGCTGGGGGGACATGAGTCTAATTTCAGCTATCACCTGGCTGCAAATTGCAAAATGCACCAAATTGCAAAAACTATTGAATGAGTTGCATTCACTCAGCTCTGTAAAAGAGTGAGGTTTCTTTCTGTTTTTGCAATCTCTTAGCAGGTTGCCTGTGAAGCACATCACGTTCTGGTTTTGGTCTTCCTAAATATTAAAACTGTTTTCTTTCTCTTCTCACTTTCATTTTGTTTTTAACGATATTTCTCCAACAGGTGCAGGTGTGCATGTAGTCAGGGTGGACTCCTGGCATCACCACTGTCCTTCCTTTTATGGGTCCCTCCTGGCACTGGCCGCCAGGGCTTATTGTAATAAAGTTAGAATGCATTTTAAGTCCTTTATCTTCTATAGCTGTGAATCAATTAGTAGAGTAAACTAATTCAGTCACAGTATGTCGCAGAACTGTGTTATATTTCTTAGGACTCTAAGTTGAAAATGACAAACCACAATTCAAACTGTTTTTAAAAAGATGGCACGTTTATTAAAGGATATCAGGGAACAATGAGTTCATAGTCCCTAGCACCACCCTTCTCTGTCCTTTCTCTCCCACCTCTGCTGTTTCAGTGCCTGCTGTTTTATTCTGATTTTTTCCTTATGACAATAAATGCTGTGGCCAACATCTCCAGAGTCTCATGCTTTTCAGCTTTATCTACCTAAGCAAGAGTAAAGAATTTCTCTTTTGCCCCCAAATCCAAAATCCCACCACTGGGTGGGAGGGAGAGAACTAACTAAGACTAATATTAATTTTACTGTATTAGTCAGCTCAGGCTGTGTAACAAATACCACAGAAAGGGCAGGTCAAAAAACAGGCATTTATTGTCTCCCTGTCCTGGAGGCTGGAGGTCTGAGAGCAAAATATCAGCAACCCTGGTTTCTCCTGAGGCCTCTCTCCTTGGCGTGTAGATGGTAGTTGCTATGGTAAAAACACACTTCTGTGTGTTTTCTTTACTCTTAATTCTCTAGTTCACTTCTGATCACTAAATGTGTGTGTGTGTGTGTGTGTGTGTTTCCCCACACCACCAAGCAATCCTCGACACCAGCTAGCGTCCTACAATTCAACTCAATTCTGCTGCTATCCACCTGGAGATACTGTCATGCCACAGATTAAGGGCTTAGTCCTACAAAGCTTCTCCCATTTCAGACAGCAATTGAAAGTCCAAGTTGTCACCTGTGCTTCTGACCAATCAACTGTTACCTGGCCCTGTCCAGATTCCTGGACAGCAATACCAAAGAAATGAATATCGCCTCCATAAGACTCTTAGGCAAGCAAAGCTTTTTATTAAAAGAGATAGCCTGCGTTCAAGGAAGAAGGCGGAAAAAAAGTGCCAGCCCTCTGAGCAGAAGCTCTCTGAGTAGAAGAGGTCAGTTGTCTTTATAACAAAAGAAGTGAAGGTTTTTCTTATGATCAATGATGATTTCCAGAAATCAAACATCTTTGTACAGCAACAAGTGGCTCCATGGTGGCTACCAGGAAGAGACAGTATGTCTGTGAGGGGAAAGGGGTTCATGAGAATTTTCGCAAAAAAAAAGTACCAGAACAGATAATGTTAAAATTTAGTAGTTGAGCTTCTTGTCTTGTGGCAACTAGGTATACTTGTTAGTAAAACAAAGATAAAGTTCCTCTTTTACTCTTGTGAGCTTGGTTTTTGTCTCTGGGACTCAGCCCCCCAGGGCTTTGTTCTTCGGCTTCTAAGATCTGTTTTGCTCAAGGACGTTCCCAGGCACTTTTCAAAAATGGCTGTACTCTTGTTTTTCCTGTCTCATGGCTATAGATCAGAAATTCCCATGACCCCTCTTTGGGTTCAATTAATTTGTTAGAGTTGCTCACAGAACGCAGGAGACCCGTTTATTCACTGGATTACTGGTTCATTATAGAAGATGTTAAAGGCGATGAATCAACAGCCAGATAAGAGAGAGACACAGAGTGAGGTGTCAGAATGCAGGATCTTCTGTTCCCATGGACTTGTTTGCGGTGTACCACCCTCCTGGCACCTGTGTGAGTTCTTGTTAACCAATCTGGAACCTCGCCAGTTGTACTACAGAGATTCTCTTGGAAGCTTCATTACATAGGCACGATTGATTAAATTATTGGCTATTGATGGTTGAACTCAACCTCGTCATTCTCTGCTTCCTGAAGGTCAAAGGTGGGAATGAAAATTTCAAACCTCTCATTGCAAGGTTGGTTTCTCTGACAATCATTCCCAAAAATCACCTCATCAATATAAACTCTGTTGTGATCAAAGGGGCTTGTTATGAATAACAAAAGGCATCATTATCTCTCTAATCACTTAGGAAATTCCAAAGGCTTTAGGATCTTTGGGACAAATGGGGAGGAAAACATTTCTTACTGTAAATCACAATATTACAGCTGTCTACCTTTGTTCTCACATGGCTTTCTATGTGTCATAATCTCTTCTTAGAAGAATGCCAATCATATGAGGTTAGGGTCCACCTTCGTGACCTCATTTTAACTTGTTGACCTGAAACAAACTGGTATTTCTCCAGCAAAGATGGGTTTAGTCCAGATAAGCAGCGAATTCCAGTTCTGGCCCTGCAACTTCGGAGAATCATGTGCAAGTCTTCTACAAGGCAAGGGGAAAAGAGAATGCTTTTATAGAGAGGAAAAGGAAATTGGAAGGGCTATATTTTTAAAAGTCCATGTCTTTTCATTGGTTGAGTCCTTGTCAGGAAACATTAGCAGATAGAAGACTCCCCTTTAGGATGGGGAGCCCACAAAAGGTGAGTCCTTGCCTGCCGGCTGGAAAGAATTCACAACAGGCAGAAGGACAGAGGAAACAACTACTTTATTTACTTAAGGAAATGGAAAAAAGGATACTCCAGTGGGGAAGCTGTAAGTCAGTCCAGGTGGCTTAACTGAGAGAAGTCCTGCCCTTTGGGTCTTTCGGTTGACTCCTCTTGAGGCTTCTTGTCTTCTTCTCATTGGCTGTCCTTTCCCCATCATTCAGCTCATTCTCCGTGGTGGAGCAAGCACTTTGCAGTAACAATATTAAGCAGGTGGGACCTTCAAACAATGTGGTCCAACAAGATTAAGCAGGCAGGACTTTCTGTTCCCTTAGGATAACTTTTTCTATTACTCAAGCAAAAGTATCAACTCAGGCAGAGCTTAAATTTAACCTTTTAAAGGATTCTCTAGACAGTGAGTCTGCGTTCCCTTCCTCCTTCAGAAAGGAGTCTTTCTTTTACCCCTTAGGTTTTGCTATCATCTCAGGGCATGAGAGGTCCCCCTTCTTGTCTCCCAGTTCTATTTAACTGGGGTTTCTGTTTGTCTTTTTCATTACTACTTTTTGATCAGAATCTTGCCCTAAAAGCATCAGTGAATAAAAATCAGGTTTTCTAGTTTCAGTGACTTTTTGTCTCAGGAACAAACTCTCGTGGGTGTAGTGCCTCACATTGGGAAGAAAGTGTACAGATCTATTAAGGTCATATTTGAATATGAAGGAGGGGTAGGACGGAGAACTCTCAGAAACTTTTTATCTAAAGTCCCTATGTTCCCAAGATCATAGACATTGGAAATAACCTGTAGTATGTCACCACTAAAGCCTTAGTGACAAAATTCCAAAAGGCCTGATCTGGGCATCTTGGGAAGTCTTCAATTTCAATGCCATCTGCTTCATTCCAGGAAATCTTGTTTTCAGGTCACCGGATGATGTGCAGATCCAGTAGCTGTCTGGTGCTTTCTTTAGGTGTGTCATGTGAATTCAAGTCTATTCCTTGCAAGAGGAAGACTTCATAAAGCACAGAAAAAGCATGAAGTGCAGACTTGAATTTAAGAAGAGTCTAATGTTAAAAGTTAGAACTGACTTCAGAACCAGTACATAACTGTCCCTGGACACTCTTGGCTTTTTAGATGGTCCTTCAAGGACTTGTCACCCATTAACTTATATACACTATGAAGTTTAACAGACTATTTTCAACCTTTCAACTTCAAATCTTTAAAATAGTTTTGTGTACACTACTTTAATTGATGAAGATTTTGAATCTTAAACTCTCCTGGGTAAAAACCCACCCTTGCATACTAACATTGAGCTATCACCAAAGCACATTGCACAGTAACTGGCTTCTTACATACAGGCTTCCTTCACACAGCCGTAAGCACCTTGAAAACGCAGGCTGAGCCAGGACAGTAGGGGATGGAGTTTATCTGCTTGGTATGGCCAGTGCCTGGAAGTGCATGGCCTTTATGAACTTAATAAAACCTTAGAAGCTTCCAACCAGCACCAATGGAGGATCAAACAGTCCTTCCTTACACTCTTTCCCTCAAAGCCATGCTCAGGTTATCTCTACACAACTCTACCAGGAGTACGGGTTAACCACCCTGGCTGTAGAGTTCCACAGCAACTTATGCTTCTTTTAAGAGCTGGAAAACCTGTTGACAAGTGCACCCACATTGTCCAGCTATTCTAAAAACTACCTTGCAAAGCAAGATACCCTCTCTCAAGCACTATACTAGGGATTAATCAATGATTTCCTTAAGTTAAATCCTTTTAAGGGGACGGTGTTAGCACGCAACCACATAGCTCCCTGGTTAGCTTAAGACAGAAGGAGCTAACTACAATCAAGTTGTGCACAGCACCCTTGGAGAGCAGGCAGTGGCTCTGAAAAGAGCCTTTGGGGTGAGCACAGAAGCTGCGTGCACAGCGCTTAAGCACGCTCGCCACGGATACGCCTTGCCAACTGCATGTCTTTAGGCATGATGGTTACACGCTTGGCGTGGATGGCACACAAATTGGTGTCTTCAAAAAGACCCACCAGATAGGCCTCACACGCTTCCTGCAGCGCCATCACAGCTGAGGTCTGAAGACGCAGATCCGCTATGAAGTCGTGGGTAATCTCCCGTACCAGCCGCTGGAAGGGCAGCTTGCGGATGAGCAGCTCCGTGGACTTCTGGTAGCGGCGGATCTCGCGCAGCGTTACAGTGCCGGGCCGAAACCGGTGAGGCCTTTTCATGCCACAGGTAGCAGGCGCGCTCTTACGAGCCACCTTAGCGTCCAACTGCTTGCGTGGTGCCTTGCCGCCTGTAGACTTGCGCGCCGTCTGCTTCGTGCGAGCCATGGTTCCGCCACTCCCCGAGTGTCACCGCTGTCACCTTTCCACCGCCGTCAATTTCCACCGCCGTCAATCGCTGAGGCGGCGCACTGTGCCCGCTTTTATAGAGGCTGCCGCCTTCCCATTGGCCAGTTGTCAGGTGGCGTGATGGCAGGCTGAGCTCTGATTGGTCCGTGGGGCATTCCGCTCAGCTGCCTGCCCTTTATCTTCACTTTCCTGGGCTTGGCCTCACAGTCTCGTGTCTTGGAACTCACGGACCTGCTCACGGTCCTCTGTGTCGGAGCCCTCTCGCTGTGGGCGTCATCACTGGTGTTGCATTGCCGTGGATGTTGTATCTCTGTGCCCAGATCCCTTGTTTTTCCTCAGCAATCTCCTTTTCCTCCCCCATGGAGGGGGGGAAGGGGAGGGGCAGAAAGTTCCAGAAGCCTGCACTCCGCATTTGGCCCGTAAGTAGTGACGTTTGAATTTTCCTCACTAATGGTTAAAGGAATTCTCTCATCCCTTGTGCCCTGGAAAGAACCTTTCCCCCCATATGACTAAGATGAGACTCGTAATGTCCCCTTGTTGACCCATGATGGACCAAGCACAGACCTTGCAAATACCCATCCTTGCCTCATGCGTGATTACCTGAACCTCTTGTCCCGACTGATGGATCTGAACAAGTTGCTCATTTGCTCAACTTTGATTCAGTGTCTATCCTTTCCCTCGGCCCTGATCGTTGGCTCTTCCTGGGAACTGGCCAGCCTCAGGGTCAAGCCTCCCCTTGACCCACTGTCCCATTGGCCGCCCTGTTATCCCACTTCCCCACACCCAGTTCTTTCTAGTCTTTTCCACTTCCCCCTATAAGAGAGAATCCCCCTTTGCCTAACCCTGTGAGATACTTGCAGATCTTAAAGCCACAGCTGAAGGGTGGCAGAATGTGCCATCCCAAAATATGCCATTTCAGTGCAAGGGTTATTGTGAGTTAAAGGCACTTGAAAAACAGCAGATGTAAGAGCATTCTTTTTCTTCCTGAAAACAGAAGTTAAAACTCCCACATGAAAGATGCCTGCCCTATACCAGGATAAGAAACAGTCTTATCATCCAGGACAGGGAATTAAGATCAAAGCGGATTCTGCACAAATTGACCTTGCTGAAATAATTCTTATCTTCCTGTAGCTCCCCCATATATTTTATTTATTTTTTCACAATTGCCTCTCTTTGTTCCACCTAACATAAAAGCATTTAGGTTTTGCCATTTCTGTGAGTCTTCATTTATTATCAAAATATGTATACATTTGTCATGCAGTTATAAATACGCAAGTTTATCAGTGCATTAAATAGCACGTTCTACTTGGGGAAGACTTGTAAGTACTGTCATTTCAAAATGGTTATGGGTATTAAGGATTTTTAGAGATCTCTGTCATGGCTGTACTGTGATATGATTCCATGTCCTATCTATTTAGTAAACTAATTATGCTTCTCTTTAAACTTAAAAAAAAATGATTGCCCTAGAGTTTGAAATTTAGATTTATAACCAGTGTAAGTCCACTTTCGAATCACACTATTTTGCTTCACAAGTAGTGCAAATAACTTATAAACAGGAATAACAGAGTATTACCATTTCTTCCCTCCCATGCCTTATAACATTGCTGTCATTATCATCCAATATATTGTTGCTGTTATTATTTGAAAAGTTATCAGATCATCTAAGAATAGAGAAATAAAGGATTTTGTTTTACTTTCACTTATTCCTTCTCTAATACTCTAATTTTCTTTATGTAGATCAGCATGTCTGACCTTCATCACTTCCCTTCTCTTTGAAGAACTCCTTTTAACATTTGCAAAGCAGGTCTACTGGTGAAATTCCATCCATTGTTGTTTGTCTGAGAAAGTCTTTATTTCTCCTTCCCTTTTGAAGAATAGCTTTGCTGGATACAGAATTTTAGGTTGGTGGGGGTTTTTATATCAGCATTTTACATTTTTCATGCCGCACTTTCTTGCTTGCATGATTTCTGAGAAGTCCAATGTAACTCTTCCCCTTATTTCTCGATAGGTAAGGTGTTCCCCCTCGCCCTGGTTCTTTCAAGGTTTTTTTCATCTTTGATTTTCTGTAGTTGAATATGATGTGCCTAGGTATGGGTTTTGTTTGTTTGTTTGTTTGTTTGTTTATCCTGCTTAGTGTTCCCTGAGCTTCCTGGATCTGTGGTTTAGTCTCCATCATTAATTTTGGAAAATTCTCAGGCATTAGTCAAAGATCTCTTCTATGCTCTCTTCTCTTCTCCTTCTGCTATTCTAATTGCATGTATGCTACACCTTTTGTAATTATCCCACGGTCCTTGAATATTCTGTTTTCTATTTTTTATTATTATTATTCCTTTTTCATTTTGGATTTCAGTTTGGGAGGTTTCTATTAACATTTCTTCAAGTTCACTGATTCTTTCCTATACCATAGACTGATGAGCCCATCAAAGGCGGTCTTCATTTCTGTTACAGTGTTTTCAATTTCTAGCATTTCCTTTTGATTCTTAGCATTTTCATCTTTCTACATACACTGCTCATGTGTTCCTGCATACTGTCTAAATTAGTCATCAGAGCCCTTTACATCTTAATCACAGTTTTAGATTTCTGCTCTGATAGATAATTCTAACACTCGTGTTATACCTGAGTCTGGTTCTATGCTTGTTTATCAATCTGGACTGTCTTTTTTGCCTTCTGGAATGTCTGGTATTTTTAGTTGAAAGCTTGACATGATGTGCTGATTAACTATAGTTAATTGGCTTTGAATGTGAGGATTTACGTTATTCTGGATTGCAGTTTGGCTGTGTTTACTGTTTATTGTAGCTCTCAGCACCAGAACCTTCAAATTCTCCTGAGGTCTTTATTTTCACCTGTCCTGTTGTCACGGAAAACACTCTAGGTGTATTTCACAGTGGTTGCCTTTCTCCTCCCTTGGCCAGAACCAGGAGATCTTTCTCTGATTTTCACAAAGAAAAATTGGTGAGATCCCTGAAAGGTAAAACCAATGACAGTGTGTGATCCTGTGATTTATTATAAAAAGTATAAATTTGGTCTATTTTTCCTGTTTCTGGCAAAGAGCTCCTAAAACACTTCGTATTTCCCATGGTAAGAACGCTAAAGGTGTCTTTTGATATCTTAATGAAGTGATTTTGGGAAGCCCCAAAGGATGGGGCTTCAGCCATGTGATTGCCAGGGGGACCAACCATGTGATTACAGAGTCCCACTCCCCACCTCCTCCCCGGAAGGGTTGGGGGTCGAATCAGTTGCCAGTGGCCAATGATTTAATCAAGCATGCCTAGTAATGAAGCCTCCATAAAACCCCAAAAGGACAGGCTTCCAGGAGCATCCAGGTTGGTGAACACATGGAGATTTGGGGAGGGTGATGGACCAGGAGGGTGCACGTGCCTCGCCCTATGCATGTCTTCTATCTGGCTGTTCCCGAGTTCTATTCTTTCATAATAAACTGGTAATCTGGTAAGTAAAATGTTCCCCTGAGCTCTGTCAGCTACTTTTGCCATTCATTAAACCTGAGAAGGGGGTCATGGAAACCTCTGATCTATAGCCAGTGAGTCAGAAGCACAGGTGACATCCAGAAATTGTGATTGGTGTCCCGAGAGAGAAGTCTTGTAGGAAAGCGCCCTTAACCTGGGGGAACTGAAGCTCTGTCTGGTAGGTAGTGTCAGAATTGATTTACTTGCTTGGTAGTAGGGAAGGATCCATGCCTTAGAATTGGAATTGGAATCCTAGTATCGGGCCTCCTAAGCCTGAGGTCCTTAGCGGCTATTTGCTCTCAAGGCAGGTAACATTTGGCCACCAGCATTCATCATAATGACCAAAGGGCTTCTTCCTGTTGTGGCTCCAGCTGCCTCTGCCCCAGGTAAACAGATCAAAGCTGTGACTTTCTGCATATTCCTGTTTCTCCTGATTTGGGGGAGGCCCTGAGACCTCAGTTCTCTGATGGGTCCAAAGAAGTCATTAACTTTCAGTTTGTTCAGCCTTTCTTGCAAGAATGGGAGGGATGACTCCAAGTTCTTTATGTGTGCAGCTGAAAGCTGAAACTTCTATAAGGAGACACAGAAATATCTGTGATTTTTCTGGGGGACAAACTCACAGATACTGTCAACATCAACCACCGCATGGCTTGGCCCTAGTTTATCAGGGAGGGAAATGCTACCCCATGGTTAGGCATTATTGAGCATATACACACAGCTTTCCCTAAAGGTCGAAGTTTGTGCGTCCCACTCCAGGCAATGACTCCATGCAACAGAGGACACTTTCTCCTCTTTGTCAACTTCCACCTTAAGGAAGACAACTGAGGCCCGACATTTGTACAAGGCTGAAGATGGTCAGGATGTATCGTGAAGCAGGGGATGGATTGGGGGTCACAGCTCCTAGCTCTGCTCATTGCAGGCCTCCGATCCTAGGAAAACTCAGAGAATACACAGACACCTCAGAAAATAAAGAAAAGCAGAAAGCATCTTATGATGATTAATTCATGTGTCACCTTGACTACATTACGGGGTGCCCAGACTAAACATTATTTTGGTGTGCCTGTGGAGTGTTTCTGGATGAGGTGCACTTGAATAGATGGAACTCAGTAAAGCAAATGGCCCTCCCCAAAGTGGATGGTATCCTCCAATCCCTCGAGGTTCTGAATAGAACAAAAGGTCCAAGAAGGAAGATTTCTCCCCTTTTGATTGACGGGCCAACTGGACACCCATCTTCTCCTGCCCTTGGTCCTCCTGGTTCTCAGGATTTCAGATTTGGACTGTGTTATGCCATCTGCTCTCCTGGGCCCCCAGCTTTTAGACAGCAGATCCTGGGATTTCTCAGTCTTTGTAATCACATGAGCCAATTCTTTATAATCAATCTCTTCCTACCAGTTCTGTTTCTCTGGACAACTCTGACAAATACACACCTTTTCAGAAGGAAAGAAAAGAAAAAGAAAAAAAGCAAATGCCTCAAACACAGGGTCTGTGGTGTTTGAGAACATGTTAGATGAAATGAAGACAGCTGTCTTAGTGGCAGTGCTAGAGGTGTTAACTGGAGACAGATTTCAAGGCTGAGTGGTGAAGGAAACTTTTTGACAAGTTGGGGGCATTCAATTGGATCCTGTAGATTACTGGCATTCAAATTTGGAGGGGGGATGTATGTTATTAAATCTTTTTAAAGAGAGATGAATTCTTTTATGAATGACATCTCCTTTTGAGCACACTCCTGCCTGGTGTCACTTCCAGAAAGGTGCAGACAGCACACACCTGCTGCCGCCCACTGACCTGGCCAAGTACGCCATGTCTAAGGGCACCGAGGACACCAGGTCCAGGCAAGCATTGGAACCAATGGCCCTCTGCTATCAAGAGAAAAACTGCGGTACCCATCAAACTTCATTCCACTTTCTAGCAGGAAACGTATCAACATAGTATGTTGATTCAGAAAACAAGTTTAAAATTGAGTTGTTTGTCTAGGGCAGTGGCTCTCCAATGCTAACATTCATCCAAACACCTGAAGAGCTTTGCAAAGCAGGTGGCTGGCCTCATCCTGTGCCTGATTCAGCTGGTCTGGGGTGGACCCAAGAGTTTGTGTCCCTAACAAGTTTGCAAGTGACACTGATGATGCTGACCCATACCATACTTTGGATACACTGCTAGGGTTTCCAGGTATTAAATACTTTCAAATGCTTTGAAGTATATACCATTTGCCCCCCCAAAAAACCCCAAAACTTTGAAAAATCAAAAAACTAAATCTCTTTTTCTACATTCTCCAATAATTTAGAATAAAGACCTCCTTGTCAGTCAGGTAATCACCGTCATACCTCATGCTGGGCCTCTGGGAGCTACTTGTTTTATTAAGAAATCATGAATTGATTATTTTTTTTACTAAATATTTACTATTTACTCATGCATCAGGCGGCATTCCATCTTGGCAGGTAGAAACTCCAAGGGGCTGTAAGAAATGGAAGTCTTTTAAAAGCAGAAGGAAGTGGGACAAGGAAATTATTCTAGCAAAGAGCTGATCATTTCGAGCAAGGTCACCTTCCTTTGGAGGAAGCGGGTGGTCTATCAGGCAGATGACCTCACTAGCTCTGACTGGGTAATTCTACATAGATTGTTCAAAGGTCACATTTTTGGGAGAGGCTGAAACTGCATTTAGGTTAGGGAGTGAATTTTGGTTTGCTGACATGGGATTTAACACAATTGGGGCCTGCTATTTCTTTTTTTAACAGTAATGATCATGAACTTGTTTCATCTATCAACATCATGAGTCATATTTATAGATCTCCCCATGTTGAAAAGTCTCTGCTTTCCTGTGAGTAACCCAGCTTCATTGTGGTGACAAGAGTTCCAGGCAGAGGCGCCATCTGAAGGGCCTCTGGAAGTATCTGTGTTCTGATTGGTTGGCATCCCTAACTGTTTTATCCAATTAGAAAGCTGAACTGCTGATACTTATTTAAATGTTCTCTTTAATCTAATCAGATGTTCAATGTACCGTCCACCTTTTCAAGGACCTGTGTTGCCTCCACTGGAAGTACATTTCTGCACTTAGGGAGGCTTAGCAGTGAGACGGGACTGATGTGCAGAAGAAGGAATGCACAGGACCCAGTGACTTTGTATCCCAAGATGCTCAGATCTCTTCCAGTTTCACCAGCTGCAAAGGGGCTCTTATTTCTAAAGCAAATTCCAAGAGCCTCTCTATTAACCCAAACTCTCCTACCTTTCTTTAAAACAGACTTCATATTAGTTTTCTGTTGCTGCCGTAACAAATTACCTCCAATGTAGTGACTTAAAATCCATTTATTGCGAGCTTGTTTGGAGATTCTAGCAGGGGAGCGCAGCTACTCGTATACCCTTGACCGAGAACTATCAAGGATGGTCGTCCTCTTCCACCGAGCGAGCATCTTCCGGAGGGATGCACACAGAGTGGTGAGGGAGGAAGGGGACACCCGCCTAGCCAGCCAGATAAGACGAATCAACCCTGGCGATCAATGAGGTGACAGATGTCACAGCCAGCTCGCCCTCACATCTTTAAAACCCATTTATTATTCTGAGGTTCTGCAGGTTAGAAGTCAGGCATAGCTGGATCCTCTGTTGAGTCTCACCAGCTCAATTCAAGGTGTCTGCATGTTTCCCTTTGGGGGATAATTGCGCCCTCAGCCTCACTCAGAATGTTGGCAGTTCATTGTGAGTGTAGGGTGGGGTTTTTCCTCCCAGCTGTGAGCGCTGGGGTGTCTTTTTCCCTAAAACCTGCCCGCACTCCTCCTCATGCTCTTCAGGTGATCCCTTCCACCAAGGGCAGGCCACGTCCTCTCCAACTTCCAATCTTTCTGACTTCCTTCCTATATCTTTCTTTACTCCAGCTGGAGAAAGTTCTCTGCCTTTAAGGGCTCTTGCAATTAAACTGAAAAGCCCAGAATAATCTTTTATCTTAAGGTCTATAACTTTAATGACAGCTGCAAAGTCCCATTGGCTATGTGACAGAACTTACTGACAGGTTCTGGGGACTAGGAGGTGGAGATCTTGGGAAGGTGGAAGTTACAGTCTGCTACCCCAGACTTCAAATTTCCCCTTAGGACCTATTTCTTTGCCCGTTATTCAAACCACTGAGGATATGTAGTAAAAAATGAAGCTCATTCCTTTACAGGTGGTAGGGTTCACATTCTCATCAGGGACATTCATAGATGGCTTAATAAAAGAGGGTATAATAAAGCTGGAAGTTTCTTTTGGAAAAAAAAACCACATGTTGAAACTGGGGTATGCCAGAGAACCCTAATGCAGAAGCAGAGGATACTATTATTTCTCTGAGTTTTTTGAGGGTAGGGGATTTTTGCCTGTTTGCATGAATGAATATGGCCATCACTGGAGACCTGTGGGAAGCTGGAGTGAGCAGATAGTATGGTGATATATGGATACAAAATGTGTTCAACTCATCTACTCTCAGTGCAAAGAAATGAGGACAATAACAAAATTATACCCTCCTTTGTGGGAAAAAAGGAACCCTCCTACACTCTTGGAGAGAATGTAATTGGTGCAGCCACTCTGGAGGACAGCATGGAGGTTCCTTAAAAAACTAAAAATAGAATTACCATGACCTAGCAATCCCACTCTTGGGCATATATCCAGAGAAAACTGTAATTCAAAAAGACATATACACCGCAATGTTCATAGCAGCACTATTTACAATAGCCAAGACATGGAAACAACCTGAATGTCCATCAACAGATGAATAGATAAAGAAGATATGATATACATATACAATGGAATATTACTCAGCCATAAAAAGAATGAAATAATGCCATTTGCAGCAATATGGATGAACCTAGAGATTATCATCTCAAATGAAGTAAGTACAATAGAGAAAGACAACTATCAAATGATGTAGCTTATATGTAGAATCTTAAAAAAAATACACATTTTATTTACCAGAAACCAGAAATAGACTCACAGACATAGAAAACAAACTGTGGTTACCAGGGGAGGGAAGGGGGGGTAATAGATTAGAAGTTTGGGATTTTATGTACATTACTGTATATAAAACAGATAAACAACAAGGACTTACTGTATAACAGGGAACTAAATTCAAGTAATGAGCTATAATGGAAAAGCAACTGAAAAAGAAATATATATATATATAACTGAATCATTTTGCTATACACCTGAAACTAACATTGTAAATTGACTATATATCAATAAAAATAAGAATTAAAAAAACCCCAAAATTACATCCTCCTAGAATGTATGCTACACATATAAATAAACCATAACTTTGGTTATGACCATCTGATCAGGGTCAGGCCAAAAAAGTGACCTCAAAGTCTTTGTGGGTGAGAATCAAGGAGAACCAAAATAATGTATTAAATAACTGAGTTCTTTTCTTTTCTTAAAAAGAGAGAAATCTGAAACATATACAAAGATAGACAAAATAGTAAAACGAACTGAACTTCAGCAATCAGCCTCAGACCAATTTTGACTCATTTATATCTCTA